AAAAAAAAATACTAACACACGATTTTCTACATGTTAGTAACGCTTTGAAACGCTTTATTGCTAAAACAAAGACAAAGTGATATAAATGGCACTTTTTCCCAACAACAGAGTAAGTGCTTCAGGCGCAATGATCATTCGTTTCCTAAGATATAACTAGCATAGTTGACTGCAGTAAACGAGTGTTTAGCACTGAATAGGCAAAACCGAAAAAGCAAGACAGTAGTCCAATTGGTACTTTCTATCCCAAAAGTAAACAGAATAAACTGAGTTCACTCAATTATTATAACTTCTAAAACAGTACTTAGAAAACAACATTTAAACTGGAAATCGGTTCATAGAACAATATAAATTAGAAAGAATATAATATAATAATTGAATTACTCTGCAAAAAAAGCTCGACCTACAACCATACCGTAGGTGTACCTCCTGACTTACAGAAAAACTTCAACTTTTAAATTTCGCAATGCCCTCAAAAATTAAAGCGATGCTGATATCTTTGAACAGCTCTTTCAATAAAAAAATCTTTGCCGTCAAAAAAATGATGAAAAAAAGAATTATCCTTCAAACAAGCATTTAGGGAAAAAAAAAAGAATGAATGCGAAATTGCCTATCACCCTCTAAAACAGAAAGAGCATTAATTTTTAACACACAATGTGATCCAGTTTTCCTTAAAACGATACTGTGTTATAAGATCAGCAAAATAGTAACGAGTCACATTCCATCACAGTAAATGTTTTGTAAAAATGACTACCTCGTGCCACATGGGAAGTTTGCCATTTGGCAATAGTAATGTTGTGTAACAGCAAAAGTTATTAAGCTTCCCTAAACCTCTATTGCTGCCCCCAAAAAGAATTTACCTCCAAATTTCTTAGTATTGGCAGCACTAACTTGAAAAACTAGACTATTCTCAAGATATTGACCAAAAAGAATCGCAAGATAAAGTTGTCAGAAAATTCCATCAATAAACCAAGCTGACGTCACTGATCTTTTCCCCGTGCGTACAAGCCGTGGTAAACGGTTCAACTTTTTTGTCATTACAAACACTTCTTCAAGACAAAAATCCGTAAGCAGTGTTCAGTAAAAAGTACTGAATAAGATGCCAATGTTTCACTGAATTCTTCTGTCTCTTCCATCAAATAGTTATAAAACAGATATCTCAAAATTTCTGCTTTATTCAGCAAAGTGAAATTCAATAAAAGTTTAAATGACTACTATAAAGTTCAGTAAGTTCATCTGGATTTGAAAAATATATTGCTACCACACCTAACCAAGATCAACGATAAGAGTATCAATTACCTGCTTGCATCGCTTTCTCAGCTAATGCTTCCCGCTGCCTTCTAACGGCACGCTGCTTTTCTTCTAATTGAACCTTAACGCGATTAGCTTCATCCCATTTACCTTCTTCCATAAGTCTCTGATCCGGTCGAAGACGAGAATCTGTGGGTGCTACACCTTCTTCCACCTCATTAAGTTCTATAGCGAATTTAGTAAAGTGGTACATTTTTTCGGATCCAGGACTAAAATAAAAATAGGCATAAACTTTTTTTAATTTTAAAAAGAAAACAGTATTAAAAGCAATGCCTTTTTTTTCTGGAACAATCTGATAAACTGTAACTTGAATATATTAAATAATCGAGAAATACTAACTAAGGAGGGTTGACCGTCCAAACACGTTTAGCTATATCCGTTTCAAGCACAGATTTGTCGCCAACTTCATCCCCTTTTATGACTTTCATATAATCCAGGTGTTTATCCCAGAAACCCTGAATAACCCACTGTAGTTTTCCATTGCGGTCTTTAACTAAACCGGTAACCTAAAAAAAAGGTAAACTTTACGATCCTGCATCGTAGGTATCCCTTTAAAAAGATGAAACAACACAAAATAAACAAAAGATAACAACTCAAGTAGCAACTAACTTTTCTTGGTGGTTCTCTCGAAAAGTAGCTATATGCATGAAACTTTAGGAAACATTTGTCGCCAGTGATGTGGTTGTCAATCACCATCTCTCCATGATTATCAATCCACAGTTTTCCAACAATGATATTGTGTACAGTAGTAGTGACTTTTTTAAACGAATATTTACTTTGCTGCCCCAAAAACTGAAAATAAATCTCTGAACAGAACTCTACCAAATCAGTAACACTGAAGCAGAAACCTCACCAATCAAAACAAAATGAAAAAAAAAACACTCACAAAAGCTACAACTGACCGAAAAAAGAAAATGAAATAAAAATATAACCTACCTCAATATGAGTGTAGCCAATAGGAATTACGGAAAGATATTTCCCTCGAAAACGAGAAGTCATTGTAAAATCTTGATGAACTTTCCATTTTTTACCCTCCGCATGATGTGCAGTTATAGGAGGATGGTGAGAAACCTATGCAAAAAACAGTTTATTCTCGAGTAATTGTACAATAATTGTTTAGAAATAAACAACATAAAACAAAAAAAATGAAAAATGAAGAAAGCAGAATAGAATGCGTAAAAGATATAGCTTCCTAGGTAATGTTACTTACCCCTTCCCAGTTTCCTAAAAAAACTAACAATATTTAAATTTGCGAATAAATTAACCGATACTAATACTAAGAAAAAATTAATGATATGCCAATGCAAATAACTACTTGTTCTGCGAAAGAACGCCATCCTAAGTCATCTGTACGGTCGCACTCAAAAGTTTCGCCAAGCAGGGGGTTGAACGGTTTCGTAGCACGATTTCCAGTGGTTGAATATGAACTCACTGCGTAAGCTGCTATATAGCACATTTGCTCGCAGGAATCTTTCAACTCCGCAGCTACATCAAGAAGATGTGCATACTCTAAGTCCTCGGAAATCCTTTGCAGAAACGACAGTGGCTCATTGAAGTTAACCTTTAAAGTATGTGTACTATGTAGAAAAGGCGTATGAAAAAAGAAAAAGCCAACCAAAACAAATAAACATGTACAGCTACTTTAGTTTCATGGATTACTACATAATAACGATCGCTGGAACTGAAGAACAAAAATGCAATAATAGAAACTCATAAATCACTGTTAAAAAAGCAACGAGTGCAGACCGGCATTGGTATTTTTGAAAGCTCCTTCCCAATACAGTTCCTCATTATCGACCACAAATTCAACGAAACCGTAAGCCTATCAGGAACTTTACTGCGTCGTACCCGTTTGCTCTTTGGTGCTACAACCGCCAAAGCAGATCCCTGCGGACAAACTTTTGCCTGAAACTACATCATACTAAGGCCACAAGTGTAGTAAATTATTTGAAAAATAAACATAATTCACATGACGTTGTCTATTTAAAATCCACTAATAACACCTCTAGATCAGACTGTCACAGTCTGAAAAACATTAGTTAATATCTTATACCTCCATAGCAACTGTTTTCAACTGTAATCCTATATGAGTTACTGACATATTTTTCTTTAATATTCAAATTATTACTTGGTCACAGCTTCCAACAGGGGTTATAATTTCTGCATCGAGAAGTTGCCGATCTTCTTCGGTTACTGAATTTGTCTGAGACGAGTCTGATTTACTAAAAAACTTAAACTAAACACTGTAATGAAAGTTAAATACACTAAAGAACATTCAGAAAAACCCATCCATCAATAACAGACAATACGAGGGAAAAAGATACCGATCTTCCAGTTTTTCTTCTATCATTTTGTCTGATGCATCGTGAAATTCCTCATCGCTTTCAAAATAAGCTAGAAAAATTCAGAAATTAACTGTAGGTTAGAAAAACAAGAAAATATAAGTAAGGAATGCACAAATTGAAAATCCAAAGATGAGACAAGTCGCAGAAACAAGATGTAATAAAAAAAAATCATTAATTTGAGGTTCCAGATAACACAAACCAAGTCTAGAATATGCCAAAATTAAAAAAAAATATGTAGGATTTTTCCTCTCGTTTACAGGTAGGTAGAAAATGCTAAATCCCTTCATTTTCTTACAGCAATTTAAAAAAGAAAAAAGGTGCGGACGGCAAAACTTGATTTAAAAAAAAGAACCAACAAGAAACCTTCAAAGATAGAAATGAATGCAACATCTGTACTGGAGAATAACTTTTTCTGATTATCCAAAAGATATAAAGGAAAGAAATGTCATGTAAAACTAAAAATGAAAAATATCAATGCGCATAAAACCTCCTAAAAATATCGGTTGATTAATGTGACGTACGGTAGCTTCGAACATGTTACAATAAATTACAAAAAAACAATACTAAAAGAATAAGGGTTTTGCTAATAAAGGCTATAGACAAAAAAACAAAATGTTTAGACAAGTTACAAATCAAGAACAGACAAAAATCAAATAAAACAGCTGTGCAGATACTTATCCTGAGAAACCAAGAAGAGAAGATAATCTGCACCCAACTTGTAAACATAAATAATGAGCCTGATAAAACGCTTTCAACCACTGCCGAAACTTCAAACCAAAACTTGTCATTTCAACATGATGCCCACAAAGGGAATTTTCGATTGTGTTTGGTGTATGATTCGTCCAACATTCGATTTTAAGCATCATAAATAGACAGCTAAGGCAAATAACTTTTTTTCTCTCTTTTAATAAAGGCGTTTCTGTTACAACGCCAAAAATACTTTCGATTTAACATGAGATATTCTAGACACAAAACGTTTCAGTTTCAGTCACTTTAAAGTGCGCCTTAAAATGCTCTAGTGTCTCATCAGTTAAAGACCAAACGAAGTTTGTATTAAAAGTAAAAAAAAGAGAAAGTACAAAAAGACGTAGTCTCGCAATGAAAAGCAGAATAGAAAGATGGCAAAACCTAAAGTGAAAGCAACAATATTTTACTGATACGCAACTACAATTCACCAATTAGAGGACCGATTGTGTCATTACGAAATAGGAAGAAAAAAAAACACTCCTTACAGTTGGTTACGTGCAATGAAAGCGGAAGTTTGCACAGTAGCAAAAACTGATCTTGATTACTAGAAAAAAAAAAACGTTTGCTCCCATTTTCAAAAAATCGTACTAACACCAGTGACAAGTCAAATTAAAAGTTGTTTCCACCAAAAAAAAAAAAAAATTAAAAATAAGAAAATGCTAAAAACTTTAGCAACAAAAGAAAGATTAATAGATCTGCCAATGTGAAAACACCTGTCGTTCTAACTGCTACCAATTAACAGCATACTTTCAAAAAATCCACAAATCCGTCTCAAAAAAGAATGACAACAAAATAGCTTAATAGAATCAAAATTAACAGCTTGTATTTCAAATTCAACTGCCATTTCCAAGAAATCTTTGAAGTGGGTAACAACCTATTAATTTTGCTGTGAATGTGAGAAACGTCCCAAATACTACAGCTAGCTGCATCACTACAACAGCATAATTACTGAACCCATAGTAAACGATGCAGAAAGTGCGCTTTAAAAATAAATTAACTACATATTTTATGTTGACTGTTCAATCTGCTTCAGAGTCAAAATAAAACTCGTCATCGTCGAAAACGCCAAAAAAGAAAAAGAAAAGAATAATATGTCGTTAGGTGTGAAAAAATATTTACGCGGTTCAGAGACTCCTTTAGAATCAGTTGCTGTCAGCAGTGCCGCACGTTCTAAGGAGCTGTGTTGTTTTGCAAGCACCATCATCTGGTCTTGCAGCCTGAGACGCTGCTCGTGTTCATTTGTAGCATAGCGGCTTACTTTTCGGCTTTCCTGAACTTCAAATAAAATCAAGCTGTTATTAAAGGAGAAACAGTGAATTCACTCAGTATTTCTTCCTCAGAAATGCGTATTATTTTTTGAGCGAGTCAAACAAAGTGAAATAAAATTTGAGGTAGTAAAATATACTTGTTAAGATCCTACTGCTAATTTAGAAAGACCAGCCCCTCTTGCTCTAAACAAGTTGTATAAATAAAACGGATGACTTGATAA